AGACAAAATTATGTATAAGAAAGGTCTATATGAATTATTAGAAGGTCTGTTTGGATTATAATAACTTTGATTTCTTGTTTGTTTCTAGATGTACACTTAGGTTCAGATTTACTACAGAGTAGCAAGTCAGTGAGGGATATGCTGGTGTAAATAACTGGCCTTAATCTCTTTTAAAGTCAGGTTACATCTGTAAGACTATTTCCTCCTCCAACTCCTGTTTTATGTCTAAATTATATAGTGCAGGGATACAGTGCATCTGAAAAAATTTCCAGTAATATGTAATTTTCCTCTAAACTTTGGAAATGCAATATTAAAAACTGGTGAGCACTTGTGCTTTGCATATATATTTCTACATTTGAAAAGTTAATGCAAAATACTAGTATTCCATGAATGTAGAATGTCTTGTCCCTTTTACAAATAGTAAACAATTACACTAGGTGCAAGGCAGGAGAGAACCAGCACTGGATTTCTAAGTTTCTGCATTTACCTAGAAGAACGACTCTATTCTACGGTAAAGGAATCATTAAAATATTTGTTGTCTGAAATGTTAAGTGTGACTCTGAAGCATGCTGAGCAGCTGAAGTAACACTTTCGAATCACACAGTGTCTCCAGAAATCCTGACTACGTGTCACCTGATGGATGTAAGTATTGTATCACAGAAGACTGTTATTTCAGTACAAAGACAACTCATAATTTTGCTGAGTTACAGTGATAGTCACACCATGCCCTGAGCTTCACAATATCACCAAAGTTGTGTGCTCTTGTGCCAGTAGAGGCTTTGGCCTCTGTTTTCTTAAGTTGGGCTCACTGGCATCATTTGGTGGTATTGCTCCACAAGACCAACATTAAACAATGCTTAGCAAGAGAGAATATCTATGTTTCACAGGAGAACAATGGTTTGCTTATTGCAATGGACAAACAAAAGTGATGGAATTCCGATTTTAGTTCCATGTTGTCTGACAGCCTGGGTAATAATGCTTGAATTCATTTCAGAATAGAATAAACCAGTATTTCCACCATGAATATATCCAATTCACAGTCTAATAAGTGCCATTAATGTCACAGTATTTTGAAGGACTGCTGCATCACTGATACAGCAACAGTGCACTTTCATATATAGTTCTGCTTTCTCAAATAACCTTAAATTCAAATACCACTGTTGCATATTTATGGCTAAAAGCACTGTTAAAAGACACAGACTTTTCACACTTAAAGATGTTTCCATGTGATAAAGTTTATCTTATCCTTTCCCTACTGACCTCTTTAATACCTTAACATGATCTTTCTGTGCAAAGAATGTGTCTGTGAGCCTTTTTACCTTAGCAAATATGTCTAAATAAATGTTTTTCTTACCACTGACTAATACTTTGATTTTGATTGTAACAGGTGGCTGGAGATACAGACACTCAGAAATTTGAAGATAATTTTTGTGTCTTTTGCATAAGTAATTTTTAAATTAAAAAAATATTCTGGTCTCAATGTTAATCTGTTTTATATATATGTATATATACATAAAATATTATTGGTCCACCATTCAATTAATACTGAAAATTCAGACTGCATGGAAGTATACGAATAATATTTTTTTCAGATAGTATTGGCACATATCCATTAGTCATGATTTTGACTAACTCCCAGGAGGAGGAAAGCGCTCCTTTTGGAGCTGATTAATGTTCCATGCTGCAAACCGGTCATTGTTGAGCCTGAGGAGTCTTTGCTTCCCTGAGATCAGATAGAAAGTTCTGCCTATGGAACATGGTTTTGGCTGTTTTTTTCCTCCTGCAAACTTGAGTTTTGCTGACAAAAAATGTTGACAAAAATTCAACAAAAAATGTATGTGTAAATGTTGTATGTTAGGGTATGCACTGACTTGCAGGGTGATTGAACAGATTTCAGTAATTGTATAAAAGTGACTGCAGTTAAAGAGCCTTCTGAACATTAATTAATTCACATACCATCTGTATGGGGTGTGTCTGTCTGTCTACCTTGTTACCAGGCTGCACTGCAGTACATTGTTTGTATACACAGATTTCATACCAGTATACAAGAGAAATAGCACATGATCCTTTTTTGTAAGTAAAATAGTAACATTTAGTATGCCAAGATACAGAATTCTGCTTCTTTGTGTTGTGAAATACATACTTTCCCATTCTGTGATGAGAAAGGGCACACTTCAACCTCCAATCCATTTTACTCCAAACTTCACTGTATAAATACAATGGGCTGTAAAGTACAGAAGTATAAACCCACTATTGTAATGCATTTTAAAATTAAAACTTTAGGAGCAAACCCCACAGAAATCCAGAGTTAGTGTCAACAGTTATTCCCCTTTTGAATAAAAGTAGTTCTTTTGGTACTTGAACACAGCATGCATATAAAATGCAGGATCCTATAGTGCTATTGTCATGTCTGGTGCATGGACTGAAAGAAAATGGAAATTCCTCTTTTCACTGATGGTGAATGATTTGTTGCATTTCTTAGTGTTGGGGAGATGTTTTATGAAAGACTTAACTGTAACGCACTGTAAAATGGAAACTGCTGTAGGAACTGTAGTTCTGACTTCTCTACATTTTCAGTCTTGGGGATATACTGAAAGAGAGCACATTTTTGTATGCAGTTTCCCTACTGCTATAAAGGAAAAAAATAATTTAAACAATCTTGGTAGCACCAGGATCTTACCAGGAAAAAAGGTGCAGTCTGTGTTAATTTGATTTAGTGGCTTTAAGTCTTATTTCATTATTCAAAGACCCCCTTGTGCATACACTGAACATACCTTGTTGGGGGAACAGCATGGCTCTAATACTAATAGTAGAATAGCTGGTAGTGAGTGATATTTTTATTGCTTTAATTGAAGCCATTGCCAAGAGGAGCCAAATTCTAGATGAAATATGGAGAATACTGCCTGTGGGGCTCTAGGTAAGTGTTTCAATACATGCAAATTTCTTTAATACTGTGAGATTAGCTCATGTTATCAAAGGCAAAATATCAGTCCTTCAGCACGTATGAAACATGCTGATACTTGTTCTGTTAAATCTGACAAGCTCAAGAAGACACACTGCAAAGGAATCAGCCACCGACCATTTTCCTGGAGTTTACAGCTATTTCCGCTCTTTATTCTACCAGAAAGCACCATTTGAGACCAGGGCAGCAAGCCTGGAGGTATAAAATGTTCTCCACCAGTGAGCCAGTGAGGGATGCAGCCACACACTGGGATAGCTCTGGGAAGCTGAGCACCATTTGTGTACAGAGGAAGCACTCGCTTTTTGGCGCACAAGCATCTTTGTGCCAGCGTTCATGAAGAAAATCTTCATCTGTTTTGGATGCCTAATTATGGATGCACTTATGTACTCTGTAATGTATGTAGTGGAAAGCATTCAGAGCATTTTACAACAGCTGGCAGGGAAAAGAGTCCACACGTTTAAGCGTTTTGGGGGATTTAAGTTTCTGGCTAACGTGCTGCACTGTGTTATGAATGCTCCCACTCACACAGAGAGCTGCCGGACACGCATGCTGAGCAAAGTTTCATCTGGCTAGCAAAAAAAAATGAAGGGGGAGACAAACTCCAGTATACTTTGTGTCAGTCAGTATGTGTAGTCAAATAGTTTTCAGGCTGCACTTTGATGAAAACTTCGACCTGGCATAATGTGGCACCCTCTGTGAACGGAACTGTCCTGCCTGTCCCTTCTCTATCCCTTTCGGTGCCTGAAGTCAGCTGCTTGTGGTGGCCAGGGGCTTGGGAAAATGATCCGTCTGTAAAATAATCCCTTTTTTGTTTACTGGGGTACTTTACAGGCAGATCACTTCACTGATCTGGTCCACTGGAAGGGTGCAGAAATGTTTGTACTGGCACACGGGCAGCAGAGGAGGTGGGGGAGACAGGATTGCTGCTCCACACGCACACACACTGCCAGTTTAACACGCTTGAACTACAGCCCAAATAAAACCCAAAACTGCATCCTGGGCACAAACAAGAACTTGTAAATGGGTTTCTGCACTTCTCTCCACCATGCTCAGCTCCCAGCTTTGCAAATCGCTGGTGTGTGCCATTGAAGCCGATGCATAGATTTCCCTGCTCTGCTGAGCTCTGGGACGCCAGAGCACATCAGCCCTAACTGGGTCAGAGACTTTCTTTGTGTGCGCAAGGCTGGGAAACCTGGCCGGAGCCATGCAGCAGCTTCTCACACTCACTCCTCTCCCAGAGCGATGGGGGGGACGGCGTTAGGGGGCTGAGCTTCCACCATACTTGATCCCCTGCCAGTATAAGCTTCCTTACAGGGCTTACAGCCACAGCAGAAGTCCAAGTAAAGCCCCGGCTGCTCCCACGGCTGCCAAGGCTAAGCGCCCTGGGACCCGAGCAGTGTCACCAAGCTCCGCATCTGTCACTCAGATCTCCCCTGTGCTTAGAAAGCGGGGGGAGGGCAAGTAAGAGACAAGTGAGCCTATTAGTATTTATTATTTGTATTATTATAGCACCTTAGTGCTTCGTGGACCAGAATCACATCCTATTAGCACTGTGCAAACCCAGAGCCAAAGTACTACAGTTCCTGCCCCAGAGGGCTTACAATCTCCATTTCCACACAGGGGGGTACAAAGAATGCAGGGGTAAAAGGGAGCAGTGACAAAATGCTGATCACTGTAATGGATAGCATTGGTTTTCTGGTAAGAACCATCAGTTCTTAAATGCTTAGCTGGGTTTAGACATTCTTCACACAGTCAATACTTTGTACTTCTCATGAAAAAAAGCATAAAGAAATCACAATAGAATTTGATGTTACATTCAGTGAAAACCACTTTTCATTGCAAGAAACACATGTAAGGTTATTTTTTTAAAAATATTGTTTAGTTTGTATGCTCTAAACAAATATCTGAACACGTTTACAACACCTACACATTCAGTGTATAAAGAAATTTAAACATTTTTAAAAAACTTACTTTATTGACTCATTCCTCTTTGCACTCTTTTAAAAAAGAGATACCTTTTAATTCCATTTTTAAAGAAAAAAATAGAAGTGATTTAATTTCAACTACTTTTCTGGATACACTTGTATTTTCCCTGTGCTCATGATTTAAAAAAATAATCTACACAGAAATTATCATCTTGGTGGAACTAAACCCAATGTTAGATACACGGATAGAGAACAACTGTGTATTTAGGAAATTTATGTAACTGATTTTACAGGTTTCTCTGATCAAAAAGTGCAATTACAACTTTGTGTGAGAAGGGCATGTGATTTACAACTTTTTGCAAGCAAATCTTATGTGCATATTTTTAATAACTTGCCTGGAAGGGGCCCAATTCTGCTGTTCTGCTCAAAGTTTCTCTAAAATCAACAGCTCCTTGACACTGTGCTCTATTCCGCTGGCCTTCTACTGTGTGTCATAGTTAATACTGTGAATAACTCAGTGGAGTTCAATATTCCTGGTTTTGACTATAATTACTCTATGGTAGTAAGTGTTTGCAGGTTTGAATATCTTACAGAGGCCCATAGGACAGTATGATTTATCCACATGCAGAGGGATGAAGGGACAAAAAGAACTAGCTGAACAGTTTGTAGAATCATTAAACATTTTCCATGATCAGCTGTTATTTGTCATTGGATAGCCCCCACGAAAATCACATAAGTAACCTCTACTCTTTACCTGAAAATAACTTCCAATATTAGCTTTCTTCTATGCATTCTCTAAATTGCTGTAAACATCCAGGGTACCCATACGTATATACACACATGGGTATGTGTGTGTATACATCCATATACATGTATAGGTGCATATATGTACACACATACATACAGACATACATATATATGGATATATAGCTATGATGTAGTTAGGAAACAATAATGTTGTTTTTATTGTATTCTTAAGTATCATAGAACGAGGGTATTATAGGCACACATCTTAACTACTTGTCCTTACTACAGTCCTAAAGCTCATTTACCTGAGATCTGCATCTGTAAAAATAAAGTTCCATTTTTAGCTGAATGTTACAAAAGACTAAATATCAGCTCCACAGATAGGAAATTACAACTTAATTTTGAGACTAATTTACTACAAGTAAAATACGCTATCTTATAAAAAGATACTGCTGAAAGAGATACATATTAAAAAGGAAACACAATTCTTAGAGGTTTAAAAATCTCCTTATGCCTTCCCACATTGTAATATATTTATAAAAAGTATTTGACACAGAAAATCTCCACAGAAAGCATCCTGCTGAAATCACATACCCTTTAAGCCACCTATTTTGCAAAAGTTACATAGTTCAGGAGGGCAGACTCCATACTGTAAGTATTTAATTTTCATCATCCCGTCTGTAGTGAATAGTTTGTATTTCCTGAGCTATGAACATAGCCATCTCTCTGGTGCCCGCAGCAATCACTCGGCAGGACATAAGATCCAGAGGTCCCCCTGAGGACAAGACGATTAATAAGAACTGGTTTACGTGATGTAAAAAGGCAATGTATTCTTAAATATAAACCATGCTGAAATTAGATGGGTTCAGAAACATAGAAACAACTTCATACGTAGCTCCTTTTGGGGTGGGAAGGCCAACCTAATTCAGCAACCCCTATCAGCAAAAAATTATTTCAGAAGATTCTAGATACAATGCCAAAGTATGCAACAGAAGCAGCAAACTCAATAATCCAACAATAAATGCAATATTCCCTTCTTTTAGCAACAGAAAGGGATTGAACAGAACTTAGTTCAATCAGCATACTCTTAATCCACAGTATCTTTCCAACAGTATCCACATATTGGTCATCAGTAAACCATTACTGTGAGATGTGCAGCATCTAAATGAATGAAATAGTAATCCAGAGACTGTGTTGTCCTCTACTCTGAGTAGTTCCTAGACATGTATGTTCAGACATGTATCTGAGTGTCCTCCTTTCTCGGGAGGCTGTCTCTGCCAAAATCTGTTTGGAGTCTGAGTGTATCTACCAATCTCCTGAGCTAGTTCTTTACTGTACATCTGATGCTTTAAAGGAATTACTCAAAGTCATGCTAATACAGTTTGACTCAGAAGACCTTTGATGTGATGAAACCCCAGGCTGTAATTACATCAGCGTGTTACAAATAACCAGCAAGAGTCTAGTGGAGAGTACAGATGTTTCTACAGCATATTGCTAGAAATAAGATAGAGCCACAGCAGGACTGTACTGAGGTAACACTTGTTGCCCTGGAATAGTCACTCAGTCCCCAAAAGGTCAATGAAAACAACGATATTTTTACTCACCTGAAGTGTCTATCACAGTGCCACCCGCCTCTCTAATAATGACAGTTGCTGCTGCCAAGTCCCAGCAGTGTAACCCAAACTGGTAATAGGCATCTGCAGCGCCGGATGCCAAATGGCACAGGGCCAGGGTCGAGCTCCCGATGACACGGACCCTAAACCCCGCGAGAAGGGGACACAGAAATGTAAAGTAGAAAATGCCTCTGATTTCAACCTGTATGTTGAGATCACAAAACATGCAACATACTTGTCTGGGTTTGGGTTTTTTTGTTGTTGTTTTTTAATGACTTTTGGTCACAAATGTGAGACATATATTGTAAAATATCTTACCCATGTGCTTGGGCCTTGAGCAATCTCTCAATGTTACCAAGGAACAATTTCAAAGTTGCAGGGTCACGTTTTGGACCAATTTCTGTTAAAATTAAGGCCTTCGAGATATCTGCAATGTAGGTAATTGTTTTCATTAATTCAACAGCTCCCAGGTAGATTCTGGAAATTTGTTTTTAAGTTAAACACTAATGGACTTTCACAGAAAAGCAATTTTCATGTCCCTTTTTTTACCCCAAACTCTTTCATAGGATAAGTGATAACTTTGCATAAATATTCAAGCAAGACTATCTTTCTCATATCAAATGGTCCAATCAACTAAAAATAATCCAGTGACCTAGCAATAATTAACGATGCTAATCTAATCATATTTGAAAACAGGATTTCTTGAATAGGGAACTTTAATGTAATTTGTTAACAAATGATAAACATTTGGAAATACAGTAAGAGGAAAGAAAAGTCTCTACCTAAACCACCAGTCATCCAGTAATATCTCCCCTTCATTCTGACATTTCAAAGACTGACGACACCTTATGACTGAAAAAAACCCTTTTTTTATCACAAGCTAATGCAGTATCTTAATTAATAATAATATAAATGTTATTTCGTATTGTGCTCAGCAAGGGCACTTCTGACCTACATCAGATGAGGATATCAGCCTGTGTACAGTCAAAGGAAAGACTCACAGCGACTTGCAGGGTGTTGAAGCAGTCCTCACGTGAGATCTGAATATTGCTAGTGTATAACAACCATATGCCAATGTAGGTGGAGATGGTTGATCAAATGCCAAGTGCCCCTGCTTCTGCTGTGCCAGCTGAACTTGAAGGTGTTAAAGGTATGACAAAACTCAAAGGTTTAGGTGTTGATTACTTAGTAACTAGGCTGTGCCTAAGTGTTAGGTGTCACCTTCTACCCTGGGTTAAAGGCTAGGCATTCATTCACATAGGGAATGTCTAGCTGGTTATTACAGCTAATTGTGTAAGTTGAAAATTCTTAGCAGAAGTAGCAGAGAGGTTTTCAAAAGCAAAAGTGAGACATCATTTAATTAAACATGCTACCAATGAATTTAGTACTGCAGAGGAACATTATGGATTCAAGCAATGCGGTAAATGGTTGGTGAGTAACAGGTATGTAATGAGATTAAAAGTTACAGGATATCACAAAGCGTAACTGTAGGAACATAGATTTAACAATTGCTTCTTAAATTACTGCATTAAACCAGAGAAACACCAATGCAGACATGCTGCAGGGTATTCGTCGTTCAGCCACCACCAAAAACTCTGGATAGAGAAAGCAATCTGCCTCGGATCTTTTTGCGTAACAAACTCAGTTTATAATTACAGAACATTTAATGCATGCCTCATTGCTGAAATGCACCAAGCATTCACACCACACCGGTCATAGATAGGTCATGACTAAGACTGTTGTACTTTTGAGTTATTAAATATATTTCTAACGCCTAAATGGATCTCTTCAATTTTCATCAAGGCTACAGGTAGAAATTGGATGGAGAGACTATGGCAAGGAAGAGGGAGGTCTCTGCTCAGGAAAAGGAGCTGGCTGATCACAAGAATTGATGGGGTTTCAGGAATTCGAAGTACAGGAGAAAATTTACTGACTACTTCTCTCTGTGATAAAGGCCAGAAAAATAAGGAGGCTTGGTAGAAGAGATTTAACAGTGATATGAATAGATTTATGAGGAAAAGACCAATTCTGTTGACCACAGAAGATTAAAAGAAGGAAAATATATTTACAGTATTAGCACATGTAAGGCCTGATCTGAATCTAAGCATGAGAAGAAATATCACTCAAGATCAAAGGGAAGATGGATCCTTCATTTAAGTTTATCTTGACTGCTTGGACTTCCATACCAGACCTCTACAAAATTTGGCATTGACAAAGAACAGTGTTTGCCTGGACTGTGATTTCAAATGATTAAATCTGAACAATGAGTGTATAGCACAGATCAATGTTACACAACAGTCACACTTCCTGAAAACAAAAGGCATGGAATTACATGACAGCCTAGGTCTCCAACAAGTCATGCATTGGTGAAGGCTGCTTGAGTTCCAACAGTAGGTACAGGGAAACACCACTCTCTGTTCCAGGGTTGGTTTATTTCCTTGAAGCCACAGTCCTTACAGGAAAAGAACAACTGGGATTTTATACACTTAAGACATCAATAGAAGTGAGACTAAAGAAGATCCATCTTCACTGGTGAAATTGCCCACCACCAAATGATGTCCCTCAAAACAAAGGAAAATTTCAAAGCATTTGGAAGGGCAGAAGGTCCACTTCCCTTGTTGTGTTCTAGACACCCATGTAGTCTGGATGTCCAGAGAAAGGAGGACAAAAGTGGCATGTGCCAAAATTTCCTTGCTCAACCAGAAACCAGATCTCTTTGCAAAAGTGAGCCAGGCCATTTCAAAAGTGGCTCAGCCAGCCCAACTGTGGGCACCACTAGTTTTTCCTAATAGTCTCTGCCAGCATGGGCTTTTGTGCAATATGAGATATTTGAGCACTTACAAAAATGCGATGTATAATCAAGGATTAAAATCTTAGTGATCACTGGACTTTACAATTTGCTCCATCTCTCCAGACAAGGAGACCCCGGATCACTATTAATTTAGGTGAATAGCTGAACTTCCCAAAATTTCAGGGAAGTTCTGATACAGGGTCTGCTTGGGGCACTCAACAAATCTGTACGCTAAATTGCTTGAATTTACTGTGTTTCAAGTTCATCAAATCTCTTTCAGAGGTAAAAATTTTACCATCTCCTGTGTACAATGATGTAAATTTTTGGCACATGTCTGCTTTTGTCTACAACTGTGTTATATTCTCCTCTGAATTTTGACTGATTAAAAGAAAACTTCTCTACAGACATCTGATTATTGTTATCTATTATAATTAGGTAAACAGACAGATCTATGATTTGGTTTACCAATAAAAGAATTCCATTAAAGTGTTGACTACGTGTCGCTAGCTATTTGTATGTTGAAACATACCTCACACACAAAAGCAAGCTGTTAAAGAACCCCTAATGAAGCATGCATCCTTTAGTTTACTTCACTGTTAGCATGTATGCCTACAGACATAATACACTTTATGATGCACAAGTTTATTGGAAAATAAGTAAATAATGGCTGCCATAGTACTCTAAATTTGATTCACCATTCCCATTGCATCTTGCTCATAAAAAGTTATGCTAGTGTACAACTGGAATGAAACTGGTGAATCTACTCATTCTTCCTTATTTTAAACAACGGTTATGAAGCAAAATAATTTAGGATTATTTAAGTAGTTCATATTCAGATGTATATTTTAAAAAGAAAACAAGGAAAATTGTGATTTCTCAGAAAAAAACAAACACATAACAACAAAATTATCATGCAGGTGAAATACTTTCCATCAGGATAATGAAGTTCATTATCCTAATGATGATTTGCAACAACTCTGAAACAAAATTAACATATTCCTTTTAGAGTTCTAACAAAATCTAGACCAACCTGTCTCTTTTGATACCTGAAGCCTTTTGTCATTACAAAATGCCCCTTGACCTCTTCTACCAGTGTATAATCGTTCTTCAGTGCAGTGGTAAATTACACCAAATTCAAGCTTTAAGATTTTGAAAAGGAAAGAAATGAATGCAACTCAAATTACTCATCATAAATATAAACAACTACTAATGGCAGAAAGATCAGCAATATTTTAATTTGTACATGAAATTAAAGATTATATTGATGCTAATAAACTGGAATAATTTTACTATTACTGTGATATTGAGATACAGGTCATATAAAATTCAGTTTATAAAAAGAAGTTAATGCAATCTGTTCGTGATCTTCTTACTTGCAGCTTGTTTGTGTTCACACTAGAATACATTAAATGCCAGGTTGATTTCAAATTCAGTTTTATGTTTTTATTGAAAGTATGCAAGTCCTCTAAGGCCAGATTCTGCATGCTTTACTTCCACTGGTGAGCAGTTACACCTAGAAGTAATCCCACTGATTTCGGCTGGACCCTGAAGTTTTACAGTCCAAAATACATAGATATGATCTGTCAGGCATCCAAACTCAGAAGTCATGGCACATGGTTTATTAACAGTGGATGCTTTTATATGCACTTCACCTTTCACGATGCATTTAATTTGCCCACCTTTTCAACCAAAGCAGTGCACTACAGTCACTTGTTCAAACGTTTCTGTGCAAAATCCTTTTGTTTACACATAAAAGTGAGAATATCATGAAGTCACAGAACTCCAAGAGAAGGAGTTTGAAGAGAAATACCAAATATTGTCACCCTCAGTGAAAGCTTGAGAATGAGTAAGACTGGAATTTTTGTGGGAGCATCTGTTTACCAATGAGAAGAGGGTCAGAATTTGACCCTTGATTGAAACCCAAGGTATTTAATATTTCCATTACTTTAATAGGTTTTACCAAAAGATTTTAAAGCACTTTACAAACTTCAATGATCAGCTCCTAAAATCACCCCTAGATAAGTACTATTAGCAATATTTTATTTAGGGTTGGACAGATACACAAAAATTGACTTGACCAAGGTCACAGAAAGAATTGGTAACAAGGTCAAGAAAACCTCTCAGACTTTTAATCTTTTCCTGCTGCCCTCCTCCATTCAATCGTAGGTGTTCATCAGAAACAATTCAAAGGGAATAGACTGTCTTTGCTCCCTACCATGGGGTCCCATCTAAACCAAAGGGTTTTTTGCAGGAACACACTATTAATAGACTCCTTCCCTGAAGACATCTGCAGGAATTTCTTCAGTACTGTTCAAGGCTTACATTCAGGCCAGTTCCCCTGTGTGTACTTTGGCTCCTTTTCAGCTTACTACTTTCTTCTGCTTTTCTCATTTGTTTACAGAGCGAGATTTAATATAATTCTTTATTTTTGTTTCAGCTTTGTTTAGTTTACATAACCCCAAAAATGTAGCGTCAAAATCATGATGGTGTTCTAGAAAACATATTAGAGCAAGCTGCCTGGTAATAATCTGTAGTATTCAAAAGAACCTTTGGGAATGAATAAACTTCAGAAAAGCATGGAAGTGTTTCTCTGAAGTTTCTATGTTTGAAAAGTCTAACTAGAGAAGTACACCACATTATTCTGTTTAAATCAGTAAGAGCCACTAGCACATCTGAAAACTATGTTGTTATTGCACAAATTCTTGCTGGCTTTACTTACAGCTATACATACATTTAAGACCATGGAATTAGGCTGAAAGAGGCACATTCCTTGGAAATTTGCATAGCTATTTCTTCTGTATATGTCAAACTGTAAACCAGCAATATCTGGAGAAAAGGCACTAGCATGAACAAGTACAGCTAGGAAACTCAAAATGGCACGTATGAAGGCTACGTATGTTTTTTTTCCCCGCTGTAATCAAGTTCTCAAGAGGGAAATATAGTTATTTTACTATGTTAAGAAAACCACAAAGGCAGATTAAATAAACTAGGCCCATAATTTTGCACTCTTCATAGAAATCAGTTCTGAATTGTCTCATAGCAGCAGTTAGCTTTCACAGATACTGCTAGCAGGAAAAAAGCAATAATAACAACGTAAGAAGACTGGGAGATATGTTTAAATTATGAATAGGCAGCACTATATTTAACTCATTATGGCGTTGTCTTACAAAACCCTGCTCACACCAGTACTCCCTTTTTTCCCCCACATAGATTCTATAATAATTTGTAAGAATTGTTTTGTAATTGTCAGTTTGTGTATGTTTTGCAGGACTACGATTTTAGACTAGGAGAGTATGATCAAATGCATTTAAAAAGCATGGAAAAACCTGAGTAATGGCTGATTTTTTAAAAACTTATTTTATTTTATTTCAAGTTCCCACATGGTTTTGAGGCTTCTAATCAGCTCTCAGGTACCCATCTTAAAGAACATACTTCATACCTCTTTGTTAACAGCAAATCCAATGCTCACTGCCACTGTTGGAAATCTGTGAGAAATAACAAATGAAGTATTACTGATGAAAAATCTCTCAACTTACTCCTTACACAACTCCCTTAGGCCACAAAACCCCATGTGGAGCTCTGTGATTTTACTTGTGTCAAAATGCTCTTGACATTGTACTATTTCATCTTTGTCAGTCTCTTTAAATTTGCCAGTTCCTTTAAAAATGTCATTTAAATCAGAGACAGCAAGACATAAACACAGGAAGACATCAGGATTTTTATACTAAACTTGTTACATATTTTAGTGATCTTTTTGATTTAGTGTAATTGAATCAGTATAAAATCATTAATGTTGTTATAACAAGTCATCACTTTTAAGAGCACATTTTGTTCAAGTTCAAGCATCTAACACAGCAATTAAGTAGCACTGAGATACCTTGCTGCTGACATCAACATAAGGAGAAATCAGTTCCTCCACTCTCCCTTTTGTCAAAGTGAGGATCATGTATTTAATTTGGTCCTTTTGACTGAAGTATAATTATCACATTTTAAACACTGAAATAAATTAATTTCTTAAAAACATGTTTAAAAAAGGGCTGTAAAGGTCCAGAAAATATTGCTAGAAAGAGAAATTTTCACTTAATTGCATGAAACACCAGCACATGACACCCCAACACCAGCACATGACACCCCCACGCCTCCCCTTGAATTGCATGTAATTGCACCAAAAATAAAGGGAATGCTTTTTTTTTTTTTTTTTTTTTTAATACCTGCAGTTAAGTCACTAACTGTAAGGCAGAACATATTTAAGTTTTTAAAGTAGAAGGATTATGAATAGTCATTACTTTACAACTCCTAGCAGTCAGACGACTCATTAAACTTTTGCATTTTTGCAGTAACAATCCCTAGATTCCTTTTTGCAGAGAGGTATTACATAGATCTAAATCCAGCATCTATGTACAACTTAGTTTTCAATTCTGCTCTACATATAAGTAATGATTGTACTTCCCAGGAAAAAATTAAGCATTTGTATTTGAAAGGGAGAAAACACCACTACTAAAAGGAATATATAATGACCACGTAAGGCCTTAGGCCAAGTGTCATCATAGCACAGCCTTGTTCCTCCAGTTCAGCTCATGTCTCTGCACGTTAATGTTCAGTTATATATAAATGAGCTGTGAGTCAAGAGCTTTGGGTCATTAAGCAATCAGCAGAAACTTTAGCTTACCTTTAGATAACAGTATAGAGCTCTGCAGCACAAACACACACTCCCTCAGATACACTACGTGAAGTACAAAACGATAAAGGGATGACTCCTACTTATGAGTCAAAGGAACAAATCTACCACAGTAAAACACCTTTAAGAGGAAGGGAGGATTTGTGAGAAGTTACCTTTTGCTTCTTCATGTATTTCTCAGTTCATTGTCCACTTACCTGTGCACAAAATTGCACGTTCCATCAACAGGGTCAATAATCCAGGTTGGACTGTCCGTGAGGACACATTTTGAACCAGCAGCAGTGGATTCTTCTGCGATAAACCTGCATTTGGTGAGGAATAAAACAAGTGTCCCAGAAAACTGGCTTAGATATGTGACTTGGAAAGTCAAACTCTATCTTCCTGTTTTTGAAGAGATACTTAATTTTATGTATATATATATATATATATATAATAAATGTGTATGTATGTATAAACACACATATTGCTTTTTTCATTTGGGAATGGGGAACTTTCATAGAAACTTTGAAGGACAGTTATCAAATTTATAGCATACTATTTTACACGGTAAAAAAGAACTCAATTTATGTTTACTTTCTCGATATACCATTAAGAAAATAACGAATGCAGAAACGGATCTTAAGTGGCAACCCTGGAACTCTAGAAGATCTTTTTTTATGCAGAATGTAATTTTATGGGTTAGGCCTGTCTCTTGCAGTAATTAATATAAACTGCAAACTGTAGCCTGCTTCTCTTTTGCAGTCAAATTCAGTCAGCAGGAAATAATACACTCTTAGAAAATCCACAATCTCACTCCTACTTGAATTTTTTACAGTAGTCTGACTCAGGAAATTAAAAGATTTACAAAGCTGAACCTTCTTTTTCCCATGACCCAGAGAAAATCAACAAATTTTTTTTTTGTTGTTTGGATGCACAAGGCACACATTGAAATCTGAGCTCATCTTCTGTTCTGTTGTTCTGTTCCAATTTCTTTTAGTAAATATGCTTTTCTTTTTTTTTTTTTCCTTTTTCCCTGGGAAATGAACATCCAGTTCTGGCACATTTCCTCCTGACCTTAATTATTCCTACTCTCCCATAAACTGCTCAGGGTCTGCTTCTGTAAGAGCCGTGCAGGTGCTACTCTCACAGATTTAAATAAAGTTCTGTATGTACAGAAGGTGTAAAATCAGACCGCTAGTACTGAATCTAGCTTTTGGTTTCACATTTGAACAACTGGTAGTGGTATTCAGAGTACCTGCAAATCTCTGAAGAGAAAAAAAGTGGATAAAATAAAGAGCAAACGCCTTTTGCAGAAACAGCTGCTTCCCTAGGAGTAGAGTAGCAGCTATTTTCTTTTGTGCCCTCAACACGCACCACATGATCCAACATAACGCTTGCAACCATGAGCTTAAAATGTTTTGCAGACAGAACAGGAAGAGGCTTCTTGAATTTTCCAAATGCTGCTTTGCCTTTCCCTCAGTAGAAAGAGACTATTTTGATGGCATTATGGACCCCCAGTCAGTGTGAAGAGGGAAGTTTGTTACTATTTTAATCTCTATTAAAGATAACAGCTGAAGGATGAAGCATTAGTGTGCAACTGAGAAGCAAGACAGACTTGAACAAGTGTTTGGAAGTCCAACATAACACTTCGCAGATTCCTTGCTCTAAGTATTCCACTATTTTTTTCTGGTTGGTGCTGTATCATTTAATTTTTGCTTTTACAAATCTTGTAATTAGCACCTAAACCCAATCATACGCTTTGGCTGTGCTGCAAAGGATGCTCATCTTCTGGCAGATGAAGCACTTCACATCCCATCTCAGATTGTCCATCTTCCCCAAAATTATGCTTCTCTGCCAGCTCCCCCAGCCAGACCCTGAACTGTAGGTGTTGTCCTGCCAGTGAAAGAAAGGCAAAATGGGAAACTCTTTAAAGACAAGAGCATTTCTGTGTAAGGTGTTTTGCCTTCAAGTATCATAAGTCTGTCTCTCATCTTTTCCTTACAGCAGGGTGCGACGCTGCAGTCCTCACATGCAGAAACGCTAATGTGAAGTCAGGGCACAGCAGTGCCATTAATGAAGTACTGATGTCCAATTTTTTCAAAATGGATGTAGGACAAATTAGGTGCACATTTTATGAAATGTGGGCTAATAGGTTAAAATAAGTCCTTTGCTGTTATACAATACTGGGAACTGTGAGAGTCCCTCAAGGTTAACATCAGATGTGTTGCTCTATGGCTCTCTGTCCTGTAAAAACAGGCAAACTAAGCAAAACATTCAGCCTGAAGTACCAGAGGCCAAATTTTAGGAACAGCTTGAGAAGCAGGAGGGGTAGCCATGTTATTACAGTAGTTAAATTAATATGCCAGCCTGTCAGCTCTGTTGACCTCTCTTCAAATCTGGATTAAAGTTTTCTCCCACTGAAAATGAGTCCAGTAATTTTAGCCTAGCCTTAGTGGACATCTGTTCATACCATGGTGCCACTCTGAAATTCATTGCTGGAACAGCAGGGAAACTGTAGCACAGCATAAACTGCAGCAGGAGTGATAGCTGGTCGAGTGCAGGAGGTTCAAACTGGGGCCATCCCTCACCAGTCACCTTACGGGGGTCTGAGGGCTGAAAGCTGGGCAGCTTGACTTAGGTGTCACCCTCAATAATAGCTGTGTCCTCATTTTAATGTCTACAGGACTAAGCCCACAATTAACACCAAAGAGGACAACTTGTGTGAAAATAACACAGGCAAACAGTATGATAGCCTTTCTCAACCAGTAGCCCTTCTGGCTGTGCCTATCTACATTTCAGAGATCTACCAGAAAAAATATCCTTTTGAGAAGACTCACTCGGAGCATGTCAGAGTACCAAAGAGTGGGCAAAGATGAAAACTTGTGTGAAGCACGAATGAGGATGATACATATCACTTAGCCAAGCAGAGAGAAGAAGAAACGTGGGACAGAATCACATTTTTAACAGGTTTTCCCAGTATTTCTCTTTACTTCTGAGTACACTTCCAACATCTCAAGACTCATCATTGCCACTGTGCAAAGCACAGACTCTGGTGAGAACCCTTGTAATTTTTATAACTCATAAAATACATCCTTTGATTCAGGGAATGTAAGAATCAAGATGATTTAAGAGAAAAAGAAATAGAAATCTTCAGTGATGCTTTCAATTGTCAAATTAGGGGAAAAACTGAACACAATTTAAATGACCTTTTAATGTTTTCATTGCTCCTTAATTTGAACCTTGATTACTACTGTGGCATCCTCATTGTTTTAATCTAGTCTAGTTATATATAGTTTTAATTGCTACTATGGACTCCTCATTGCAAGTGGTGTAATCTAGTCTAGTTAACTCTAATTTTAATCTATTGTTTAATCTAAATTCATTCACTGTCTGAACAAGCTTCATCCAAACCCAAGAACCAATATCAGCAAAAAATAATTGCCTTCAAGAAATAGGAATTCCTTCATTTGCTTATAAAGTCAGAAGTTAACTGTACAGTTAGTAAAGTCAGAGAATTTTCAGTTCCTAGGTCTATGTTGATAAATTTTATTCCCATTCTGAGTAACTCAAGTGCTTCTGATGATTCTCATCTTATGTGAAATGTGTAAGTTTTATATTCTCTGCCAGAATGTTCAAGGAAAAAAAAACAACAACGTAAGAGAGGAGATGAGAAAAGAGCACATCCAGCAATAGTAGAAGGAATATTACACAAATAATAGGCTTGTAAAGTCTGGCACTCTCTCGAGAATTGCAGCCAAGAGCCACATGTTATGCTGTACAGTACTGCTTCAGTATGTGATCACATACAACACGTATTTAGAAAGCCATATTTAGTATATAATGTTCTTTCTGCTCCTTCTTATGTGGGTTTTTTTGTTGTTTTTGTTTTTCCTAGCAGCATCGTCGACAATCAGATTAGTAGCTGAGCCCTCCAGATTTTCATCTTTGTTGATTTGTGTGCAGCACTAGAGTGCAAGGCTCATCTCTATCAGAGATGCACACAGTTAGAAGGAAATCATACAGTATTTAAGGGATACACAGGCTCTGCACTCACTCTGCAGGAAGATGAATTTTATCCTTGTCGACCGAAGTCAAATGTGGAAACCGATTGCAGAGTCTCTGCATTAAACCAAACCTGGCCAACTAATACAAAACCTCCTTCTAATCTGTCCATGTGCTAGGAGTTGTTATTTTCAAATTGACCACAATAATTCAAGAGGAGTCACTAACCTGATCTATTTTTAAAACCTTGAGTTGACACCCCATATCATAATTTATAACCTGTTTATGTATACACATGAAATTATGATGATGATAAACAACCCTGCTTCTCACTGATTTTAGGATTCTATAAAACACAAGGTAAATGTGATTAAATATGGTACTTGTCCTGATCTGCAAATGCTTATGTATGATGGCAAAAGAAAGTGAAGGAAAGGTCTTTGCTATTGTTAATTTCAGCTATATTTTAATACATAACCTTAGCATAATTCTTATACAATAGAGAACAGATCACTGTTCTGAAAATCATGGAGTTCTGTATGAAACTTTCATACACGATGCCCATACAGGGGAAACATTACTATTACATACATATAGTAAGAAACAAAACTATTAGAAAATGTGAAGTTCTAAGTATAGGGAAGGGGTACATTTTAAGAAAAGAAATCCTATGAAAGTGTTGAACAGCAACAGGTTAATGTGTAAGAGAGAAATACAGACATTTAAAATTCTCTTTAAATGACAATCAGATATACAGCTCTTAAAGGCAAAAGGTCACGGACAGTTTCTATAGGCACTCACCTGTGGGAGGGAAACTTCTCTTTCAGAACAGAAATAATTAAGTTTTCTACAAAATGATCAGTTTCTGTCACAAGATCTGCTGCAGATGTCTTTGTGGACACTTGTTTTTCCTCTGTTAGAGCTTTCCTTATAATCTGAAACAAGAAGTTCACAAATCAGATTTGTTGGCCACTCACCCTGTGCATGCTAAAATAATATATTTACTAAAAAATTAGAGGTAATCCTTAAAAACAACTGTGGGGCTAATTCTACCAGAGCCGGTTCTAATTCTTCTGACTAAAAATCCCTCTGAGCTAATGAGTAGCCTTTGGCAACATGGCATTTTGAATCACTCTGCAAGAACCTCTCCTGACAGTTCAGAAAAGGATTGATGAATAGGATGAGACTAATGGAATAAAAGGATGATGGCAGTCATTATGATTTAGATTTAGGAAATTCAAAAAAATATATGTAAGGTAAGAAAGAGCCTCGAGACTCTAATTTTTCATGGAAACTTTATTTATTTTTTTTAATTTACAGGGCCAATACTGCACTGTGCTCTTACTTTAAAAAACATGCATAAGGCAAACCCCATCGGTTTCTTTTTTTTTGCCAATGAAGACACACAACGTTTATTTTTTCTTGTGTATATGGCATTTTGGAATTTTAAGTGCTGACCACCCACTAGTTGCCCAGGAATTGCTATATATTTAACAGAAACAAAATTTTAGACTTTTCCCTAGATATAAAACCAGTGATCTAAACCTGGATTCTCTTCTGGAAAAGTCTTTATCTCGTTTTCAAGGGTTTTACTGTTATAAACTCAGAACTAAACCACATCAAGTGCAAAAGCACATATGGGAAAACAGTTAATAAAAGCTTTTTCCCAATTTTCCCATCTTCTGTTTTTTTCCACTCCTTCATTAAAAAGAAAAATAAGGGGGCAGGATGCAAAAGGAACTGACTTATTTTTTTAACCAGTAAAAATTCTAAACTATTTGAAATTAGGAAAGCCAAACCAAAATTATGCACCACTTATTTGTATAGAATTGTATTAACTAAAACTAGCACCAACAAGACCAATATTCCAAGTCTCTCTCTTATATATTTCAATTGTTTAACTAAATTTCCATTGATCAAAGTATTTTAAAACCATTAAGAATTGTTTGATGACCAAAGAAAACCAGTTCTGCTGTATTATTCGTGGGGAAGGGAATCAACAACTCCCGAATTTCAGTCTCAGCTCTCAGTTTTCATAGTATAAAATACTACATTTGAAGAGTGTGCTGATTGTTCTGACAAATAATGGGTATTTCTGACTGTTGCCTTAGTATGGAAGGTATCTGGGCTACTATTTCTGTTTTGTGAGCTGTAAAACACTAGTTATGCCTATTTACTGATCTCGTGAGGACAGGTTAATACTTTTCGGTTTGAGATCTGGCTAAAGTTCATTATTGTATATGAAAATATTAACCACACTTAATCTTTTTACTGCCCTCAATATCCTGCATGGTTTTCTTGAAAGTTTTACCACAGAAGCGTAAAAGTGCAGCTCTAGGAAGGCCCTTAGGCTCCTCTTTGGTCCAAAGCAAAATCCAAAACACTCAAACCATCTCAGTTGAGTATTCTAAAAAAACTGCCAAGATGGTACCTTTTATTTTAATTGATCTTCTTTACTTTTATATTGTCTCAATATAATTAAATGCCCTGCTTAGAACTGGACTCAGACCACACAGTGAAACAGATGAGGAATACACTCCTTTCGATAGAATTTCTTCTCAGCAGTGCCATGTTCTTGACTTCTGTTCAATGATTGAAGAGATTTTTTGCAGCCATTTAAATCAGTATGTGCCACCATTCAGCAGGGGAGTGAGATCACACCCGAGCCTTGCGACAAAAAGAAGAGCAGAAGTGAAAGCTCTCTCCCACGATGTGCTCTGCAGCCAGTTGCTTTTTGTCGTGTGTTCCAGTGTTTGATCTCTCCTTTCTGAACACAATCCTTTGCACCTCTGTGCTGGGTTCCTGTGGCAGGGTTTTTGGTAGTGTGTGGGGGGACTACAGTGGTGGCCCCCTGTGAGAAGCTTCTCAAACCTCCCCCAGCTCCAAGTTGGACCAGCCTTTGCACCAAGGCTGAGCCAATTAGTGATGGTGGCTGTGCGCCTCAGATAAAGTATTTAAGAAGGGGAATCTGTGAGGAGTGGGAGTTGTGAGGAGTTGAGGACACCTATGTGAACACCAAGGTCAGTGGAAGAAAGAGGGAGGAAAGGGGGGAGGTACACCAGAGCAGAGACCCCCCTGTATCCCATCCGTGGTGAGAGGGCAGGGCCACCCTCCCTGCTGCCCATGGAGGTCCACAGTGGAGCAGATGCTGACCTGCAGCCCATGAAGGACCTCATGCCAGAGCAGGCACCTGTGCCTGAAGAAGGCCAGGACTCTGTGGGGAGGAGCCCCCGCTGTTGTAATGCGCACTGGGAGAACTGCAACATGTGGGGGTGACCCATGCTGGAGCAACAAAGGAAAGGCTATAGCTTGTGGGAAGGACTCACAACAGAGAAGGTTCATGGAGAACTGTCCCCTGTAAGAGGGAAACCATGCTGGAGCAGGGGAGAATGTGAGGAGTGTCCCGTCCCCCCGCCCCTGAAGAGGAAGGACCTGTAGGACTGACTGTAACTCCCATTGTCTGCGTCACTGTGGGGAGGAGGTAGAGAGATCAGGAACAAAAACTGAGCCCAGAAAGAAGAGAGGGATGGGGGAAGGTGTTTTTAAGATGTGGTAATGCTTTTCACTGTCCCACTCTGTCTGTTAAGTGTTGTTGTCAGTGTTTGAATTAAAGTGATGTTCTTTTTCTTCCCTGAAGGAGTCTGTCTTTTGCCTGGGACCATAATGTGTGATACACCACTCTCTGTCCTTATCTCGATTCTCGAGCCTTTTCTTCATTTTCTCCTTCCCATTCGTGAGGGGGAAGGCGTGAGTGAATGACTGCATGGTGCTCAGTTTCCCTCTGGGCTCAAACCACGACAATCTCTCAGCACTGAATTGAGTATTTTTCATTTCTGATTCTTTCTCCAGTTGTTCATGACCATTTTTAACTTTAACCCTGTTCATTTCTCTAGTGACCTGCATGTGCCAGCCTGAGGCTCCAGTCACTTTGGAGGTGGGAATAGCCAAGGACTTGACTCTGATAGGAAGTGGTGGCTGATGGCCGCCTTGCCCATCTCCTCCTCTGCAGGCTCATGCCAAGGGGCTGTGGCACACCTTATCTAGCCCTATGATAGACTGCTTCCACCCACCTCTTGTGCAACCAATGTGTTGAGGGGAAAGCAGGCAAGAAGTCATGACACTGTGCTGAGGTCAGCAGCCACAAATGGGCACCACATCCGTACTAGCTCACCTGCAGTACCAGATGATGCTGACAAGATGGATGAGCCCCTGCTGATTCTCTGCCTCTTATGAAGGGTCTGACAAAAGGGGTTCACATGCATTTTCACCAGCTTGTACTGGTATGCAATCCAAGCCAGAGTCCCACACAGAGATCATATTTCCTGCATCATCGATGAAACAGCTTTTATTCTTCATAAATTTACAAAATAGCTCAGAACAGTCCAGAATTCAACTTACACTGAATAATTCCTAAAAATCATCTGCCTACAGAGTATTAAGAGTCTGGTGCCTCAGAGTACTTTAGAGTATCACTCAGCTTCTCTCCTTTAGGAAGTTTTACAGTAAGGTTTGTAGACACCTACTGCAGTTGTCTGGTTTTCCCAGATGAGTGTAGAGCTCCATAAAAGTCTCACTTGGTAACAGGCAGCAGGTAAGTGGAAGACCAGAGGAACTACAGGTTGATGAAATCAAAACAGCCAACTGCTCCTTATCACCATTGTACAATGGAACTGGCAACCAAGATGCTCTATTTTGGCTGTAAATGTATTTTACTGGGCTTTATCATTGTATTATAGGTTGTGCCTTGATTATGAAGATTTCACGGCAATTTCTAAGCAGCTTTTTGTGGTTATTTAGAGCAGAGACACCTAACACTTTTAGCCCATGCTGCCCCTCCTGTAATAAAGAATTGGCTGGATCTTATCCTAATACACTGCTTGGCAGCATTTGGGGGTTTATACAAAGCAAGGGGCATTTACACCAGTACATGCATTGAAAACCACATTGCAGAGCAAGACCCAGGTTGCCCCTGCTCCCTTCTTCATTTCCCACTGAGCAAGGGAAATGGAGCTGCAAGAGCTCAGTGCAGTCACGGTCCTGGACTCTTCCCTCCATAACGCCTTTGTGAAATTAAGTCACACAGAGGAGAATGGAGAGGACAGAAGGCCAAGATGCTTTCTTCCCCAATACCTGCCAGGAGACCCAGCTACAGCGAGGTGCTCGTGTTAGGTATTTCATCTCACTATACTGCTTGCACTCACCACACGCTTCTGGGAGCTCCAAGATGGATTTACTTGCTTGCAGTACTGTCCTGAAATATTTGCTCACTGATAAAATCAAGCATCTAGATAAAAAGCATAACTACCTGCAAATAATTTAGGACCAATTTGTTTTTCTAAAAACAATCTGTTCATCTTCCATGGAAAATAGGCTTACAATATCCCCCGGGAGAGCAGATATGGGGGAAAAAAATCTTGGCATTTTAGAATATCAGTAGAAATTTTGCCTTTTTTTAGTGGGATTCTGCTAGGCCTCTTATGCCTCATAAAATTATTTGCTGGGGAAAAAAAAAAAAAAAAGAGAGAGGAAAAAACAGGTAGCTTGTGTGGACTTCAGCATGCTCACTTCTAGTCTCAGTTTCTTACCCTTGTTCTCACCTGGAAGCATATCTACTCATTTTGGTGGTTTCTCCAATTGTAATTGCAGAGAACTGTCCAAATATTACTCAGTGCTCTCAACAGCATCAAAGATGCAGAGAGACTGATCATGTCTGCTGTTTAATGAAAGTCGTATTAAGCCAACAGGCATACTCTCATGAACATTGCAAGCAGACTTTACTCACCGAGAAAGCAGAAGAGAGGTTTGAAAAAGTGCAGTTATATGTGGCCTTATAGAGCAAATTAGACACAATTTTAATGCAGGTCAGTTACAGAGATTACAAAACCATGGCCAGTCTCATTATGAAATAGCCATATATATATATTAAATGAGACACTGTGGTATTTCATAAAAATAATGGAACTAAGTAACAGGATGGGCAAGAGAGGCAAGGATTTTAACCTGGGAATAGAAGTTAACCCAGCAACATCACTTTTGACACATATTCAAGCAATCCTTTATTTACTGGCCTTTTAAGTTTAGAAGAAACTATTTCAGAGCATAGATGCCTGTTAGAAAGAAGATATATTTTACTTATACTCATGAAACGTGATGCAGTATAAACCAGTCATGCAAGCCAAAAGGGGAGACTAGGAAAGTGTATTACTTGCTAACTTTTCCTAGAAATCCAAAATATTGACTTGCATGCCTTTCTTCAGGTGGGCCTCTGCACCAAGACTCTTGTAGACAGTTTCTAATGATTCCCAAGACTTCCTAACCTGCCATGATCCTGAGAAATGTAAGGCCTTAAAAGAAAGGCTGAAGTGGCAAAATTTCATGCAGGGATGGAGACAGGACTCAGATCTGCGGAGGCAGAGACTATAAGATTTCTGGGGATGGAGGTGAAGATGGAGAGGTCTGAGGGATGGGGAGAGAGACAGAAGAAAAAGATGAACTTAACCAGTGGAACTGACTGGTTTTGGTAACCAAAAGAAAACTCAATTTTATCAGTCAATTTGCAACAAAAATCTAGTCCTATCAAACCTGTGTTACATTGTATTTTGTGTCCTTATCTCTAGCTTCTTTTGGGGATAGCTGGAAGTGGATTGACAAATAACAGATACAGCCCTATGTTTTCTTCCACAAGGATCCCTGATGGTTTTTGTAACTAGAAACATTCCTTAACATTACAAATAAAAACTCTAACCAGTTCCAAAGTTCTACTTAAACAGCATCCTTGACTGTTTTAAATTTGGTCTGCCAAGGAATCGGCCATTTCCTGCCAGTTGCAAGGTAGCAATGGCAAACTGCAAACTAAAAAGATGCGAGGATTAATCTTCTGGAATGTTTATTTCTTCCAAGAAAAGGTACTCAGCTGTGATCTTCCGGGCGATTAAAATGGCTGGAGACGGTTACGGCTGTCTTCACAAATTGGTATTTTAAGAAATAAGGTGTGGAGGCTCAAGCAAGTCATGAGAGTCTCTCTTGTGAAATGGCTGGCAGAATGAGTATGCTGGAGAAACTCCTGTTTGGAGAGTCTGTGAGAGCATGACCTGTCATCCTGATTTGGATTATCCATTTATTTCCTGTATGACTAAAACAAGGCTCCTCTCCTCTAGCATTCTGCTCATCTTTGTGTGTGTCTTCTACTAAGGAGAAAATACATCTAATAACACATTATAAGGAAAAGTTACAGCTTCTGGACTCAAGACAGAAAAGGGGGCTCCTTAAATCAGAGTCTATAGGTACAAAGTGTGCTTCAAAACAGAGCAGAATGGGAGTGGAAGAGAAATACACGTTGCTGAGGCTTGTTTTACCCAATATCTCATCTGAACAATCTGCTGATCCCGCTTCTTGGCTCTGTTAATAGTCGGTGGAAGTTTTGCTGCTATACACAGTGGGGCCAGGATGTCTCCCGAGATGACTAACCTTCTGCTGTGTCGAAACATGGATCTTCAGCTAGCCACTGCTGATTTATCCCCAGCAAGTGAATTTCAGTCACTCTGAAGACACTGGTTTATGTCACAAGACAAAACCTCCCCGAGATGACTATTTTACTCTGCACAAGCTGCTCAGAACCAAATGCTGGTACAGTAATGTGTAAATATGTAATATTCTGGATAAATGCACCACGGCGTAACCCCTCAGTTGTACCTAAATTCAACATTAGCATCACAGCATGCCCCAAAGCTTTACAGTAGCAGAATAAATGCTTGGTGCATATTTGAAAAAGTTACTAAAGCGCCTTCACGCTGACAGATCTTTCCGCCTTATTTTTTTCTCTTAATTAAATAAAAATAAATTCGAAAAAGTCACAAAATAAACCTGCTTTCACCTGAAGCGTCTCCTCGTCCTTATGCTGGATGCGGCCCCCGAGGGGAGCGGCCCCGCCGCCCAGGGAGGCAGCCGAGGGCTCCGGCAGCGGCCCGGCTGAGCGGGGGCTGAGCGGGTGCCGACCCCCACCGCCCTCCTCCTCCTCACCAGCCAAGTGCCCACATGGCCCTTCCTCAAACCGCCCGGCTCTTCTTCTGGTTTTATTTTTTTTGGGTTTTTTTTCAGGTTATGTTTAGAAGCGCAGCCGCTACCACGGGCCGGGAGAGGGATGCTCCAG